AGGGAGTCTAACCCTGCCAACTGAAGCTAATCTACTTGTAAGCCCTTTCATCTGACGGCTCCAGGTCAGCGCCTGGCCCCCACGTACTCTACGCCAGCTAGGATTGGGGGTAGCAAAAAGTGTCCTATGTGGGAAGCAGCTTGGTGACATACGCAATACATGTCCGAGCCACCTTAGTTTGCTCAAGTTCACAAGCGTTCCTAAATCGAACTCTGGTCCTAGAATACGATCACGGACCGTGGAGTTTCGGATCCTCCGGTGCCAACCTATGCCCGCAAAACCACGCAAGCAACGATGATCGAACACCTGAAGACGTTCGAGATCTTCGACTCGAAAAGTCCAGGTCTCACAGCCGTAGAGAAGAACGGCTCTTACTGTGGTCCTGTACACCCGTCCTCTAAGTTTAAGAGAAATCCCTTTGTGACGCCAAAGATGTCTCAAGTCATGGAAGGTTGCTCTGGCCTTCGCGATTCTCGCATCTATTTCACGCTTCAGGTTTCCCTCCGAGCTCACGCAACTTCCCAAAATTTAACCTTGCATGTGTATGCCAGTAATTCAAGAGAAATGTCTGTTGATAGTGATGCCTTTAGTTTAAATATAACACTAGCTACATACTAAAATTATGTAATAAAATTGAATTACTTTGGAAATGTTTATTTGATTGAAAATGAAGATTATTGGTACAAAGAAGAAATAGGTTATTAGTTAGAAGCATGTAACAAATATGGATGGAATATCATGAAAAGTAATAATTGCAAAGGATTCTTCCAATCAAGTGGTGCTACAAGATATTTTAGCATTTTCAATAGTATGAAACTTATTCTAATAAACATAAAATTTTAAACTTGTACATCTTGATGAATACTATATTTTAAGTGTGTTGCTAAGGTGCAAATATTGATGTATCTATTTGAAATTCTCTGAGTGGAGATTTTGTAGTATAAAGAGTTTGTACTTATGAAAGATTATAATTTTTTCCAAAATTTAAGTATGCATGTAGCCTTAAGACATACCAAAGGTGAAGAAAAGCTTTAAATTTTTATTTTTTGTTTAGGTCTATTATTCAATTCCTTCGCATGCTCAGTTTTCTGTGGCTCAAGATGGCTCTGTGATTATGCAACAACCAAGTCAATCATCAAGTGCGGCAGTAGGAACAAGTGTGGTTATGAGCTCACAATATAGCAATACCTTTGCAACTGACTCTGGAAGGGTACAGAGTGGGCACTCTGCTTTGCTTGAAAGACTTAATGTAGCTCCTGCTATACATGTTCCAGACTTAATTACATCAATGGCCTTAGCTTCTTGTGAAAGTCCTTCAGTGTCATCAACAGTTGAAAGTAATTGTGTTCCATCTAGTGCTTCACCTTGCACACTGCTTCCTCTGACAGTTCAGAACATTAATAACAATATAGTTCCTGTTAGTAGTCAGTTTCAGCAAGGTTTTGTGACGTTACCTATTATTTCTTCTGATTCAGATTCTAGACTATCTGCTGTATCAGCAGTCCCTTTTACCACTAGTTGTGTTACTACAAATACAGTACTTACTGCTGCTTCCATTTTAAGTGATAATAATATTAATCGTGTACTAGTTGGTGTCCAGCCAATCCAACTTCCTGGTAATACAGGCAATACTTTGGTAGCAAGTGTGAAACAACCAGTGCCTGCAGGAGTTCCAGGAAGTGTGGCAGTGACAGTTGCAACACCTTCGTTGTCCGATGCAAGCTCCGATTCTTCTATTATTTATAATAACCCTGTGCAGAAAACATTTTTGACTCCCAACCAACTTCAAAGCTTACCAGATTCAAATAGCAAGAATGCAGGAGGTCCTTCTCTTCAAGGACAGACGATCCCTTTAACTTTAAAAAGCCAACATGTGAGATTGAATTTTCACTCTGTAGTTTTTCTTTACTTTAATTTAATTTAAACCTCAAAATAAGGGAATTAAACGTAGCATATATACATAAGAACTTTTTGATTGCTTATTTACATCCTTGAGCACTGATCTTTTAATGTTATTAGAATGAATTACCTCTGAAAAACTGAAAACTTTTCCTTGTTGAGTTTGAAACCAAGCTGTCAACAGAACATGTGACTCAAAATTTTGAATGTCTTTTACGCATTGCAGAACACGAGTCGCCAATGATTCTCTTGCTTTCCACTTATTCCAGCATCGGGATCTGACATTAGCTTTTCTGCCATAAGTTAGGTTTTATTGTTGGCAGTAATGATGTTAACTTTGCTACAACTTTCTTCCCGATGTAACTATTTATACCATATGACTTGATATCAGTCATATGGATGTTTAATTTGCGTAACTTAACAGTTTCTAATGAAGGTCAATCTTTTGCTTATCTTAATCGCCTTCAGAGAATGCAGAGATGGATTTGTCTGCTTTAAGTGCTGACTCTAATCTTGACAACACTTCTACTAGTCCCATTTCTTTATCTCTCTGGTGTGTTATATTTTTCAATATTAAATATATTTCCATTTTGCTTGAGGGTGTTTGTGTCATGTGAGATTATTTCAGTACTTGAATCTTTTATTCATCCCATCTTCTCCTGATACTGGGGTTATAGATGTTTTTGAAAACTAACTTTATATTCATACATTTCATATCCCCTTCTACTCTTTCTTCTCAAACTTTTGACTCACAGTTTGGTTATTAGGGGGAGAAGGGGGTCTTCCATGTGTTTTTTCAACTTTGGTCCCAGGGCTAGTTTTCTGCCCTGCATGCTATTATTTGTCTTGTTTGAAGACATAATTCTTTTGCACTATTATTAGCTATTTTTGTTTTGATTATTTTCAGTCAGCATATTTCTCCTATTACTACGTGGCTCTTGCATTCCTTTGACACTTTCACCCATCAGGCTGTGTTTTAAGGTATTTTTAAACATTACTCTCAACTCTGTACTAACAGAGACAATTGAAGACTGATCTTAGATCGTTCCCATCTATTTTGTTATCTAGATATTAGTTTCTAGTTAAAATCTCTGAGAATGTTATGAAAGTTCCATCATCCAGGTTTTTTGGAGGATGAAATGAATTTCAAAGAAGTTTATTTACATATCCTAGTTCATCTATCTTCGTTTCCTTATCTTATTTTTCAACTTGTGGAGTGGTTTGTTGATTTATTACCCCACCATTTTCAGTCTAGCTTCAGCCCTGTATGTTTTCACGTGTAGCCAAATATTTATCAAGTCTTCTGCACATGCTCAATATCATTTGTCATCATCACATGGATGATTAGAGGATCCTTATTCACTGGATGCCTGACACTGAATTGATCTTCCAGCTAGTTTTCCATTATAGGCTCTCATTTTCTTCCACCTCTTGCAGATCTGGATCTTTTCACTGACACCTCTATAATGCTAGGGTGTTGTATTAGGGAACTATTGATTTTAAGGTCTGTTGTCTTCTCAGTCATGATGTTCTCACATCGTTCTGTTGGAGCTTAGGGTTGTTCATCATGAATGTCAAGAGTTCCTGCCCTTATTACACCACCACTGTTATTTAGACAAATCGACTGTGGTGGCATATATCAAAAGGTAGGGGGAGGGGAACATGATATCACAGCCTTTGTTTTTTTGTGGTTTCTGTACTTCTTTGTCTACACTCACATCATGTCTTTCTTTGAGCTGGTATTTTATTGGTTGAGCTAACAGTTCAGTTGCCCTGTGCTTAATGAAATTGTGATGGTATGTGTCATCTTTTGATGCTTTACCAGTTTTCAGTTCCAAATTCACTTCTCTAGCAGTGGATGCTTTGAGTCTATCTTGGGAAAGTCTTTTCATTTTCATTCACAGATATTGCCCAAGATCAGTTGGTACCATTGTACAGTTCTTCTTATTGCTCCATGCTTGCCTGTTCCACCATGGTTTGCACTCACCTTGACTATCTTAGAGGGATCCTATTTTGTGGTAATTCATCCATAATGACATTTGTTGTCTACAGCTTTATAGCTGGCTGTTATGCATCCTTTTGTACTGAAGCTAGTTTCTCTTCTTTTTACATTTTTGCAGACATTCTTCTCTAGCAGTATACCATTTTTGTTGGTCTATATTTAGGATTTAGTGCCTGTAGAATTTGGTTTATAATCATTTTCCAACTCTTCAATAGCTTTTCACATTTCGTTATTGTACCTCTTTTATTATTGGGGCTTGTCTGCTTCTACTGGAGGCTACAGAGCTGCACTCTTAACCACTTTCAATTGCCTCATAATTCATTTGTCTCTGTCCGCCACACTTTTCATGTTATTTTTTGAGCTTTTTAATTATGTTTTCCATGAGTACCTAGAAATAGTCTTCAGTGGAATTTAAGTTTGATCTACTGGCTTTTCTTTCGAAACCTTTGCAACTTGGTCACACTATCATCTTTCCTTGAGATAATCACATTTTTGTTGATGTTTGTCATACTTTTTTTTTTTTACCCAAAAGTCTCTCTACACATTTCCTGATTGAGCCTTCTTACCAGAGACTTTGGCTTTGAGAGATGACATCTTCATTTTTTTTCTCCTGTTGTGTTACCTTCTCTGACTGGCCACGATTAGCCTTTCGAAGAACAATTTTTATGTTGGGTCAGGGCTGTTTGTTCTTTTATAGAATGAACAGAATCTTTTTGAGGGAATATTCAATGATTTTTTTTCATAACTTATAACTGTTCTTGTTCCATGGATTTCATTGTATACAAATTAACAAATTGGTTTGTACAGCTGATCATTCTTATTTATCACGATGTTCTGACCATCTTAAGCATCAATTTCAGGCTACCTCTCACCACATTGATCATTTGTTTGTCTATGGCCTCCTGGTCTCTGTACACTTTAGCAGACAAATTTCATGCCAACTTGGAGACAAATTTACGTATTTTTCAGTTTCAGGGCTCCTTTTTCTAACTTTGGAAGTGTACGAAAGGTGCCACCTCATGCCTGTTGATGCCTCAGCAAGCACCTTTCCAACCTTCATGTACATGTGGCATTAGAGATATAGGAAATGGGAATATCATTATCTTGGCAATAGTCCCTATCTTTAAAAATGTCTCAGTTTCAACCAGAATAGGGATCATCTACTTTTTAATATTATTTATTAATGTTTTGACGTTCCCACTGAACTGTTCTTAGGTTACTGAGTTCATCCTTTGGGACTGCTTGGTCCTTTTTTCAATTGTCTCTAAGCATCCACTAATTTGGCCAGTTGTGAGACTTGTTGATGAAGTTTGATATGGAGGAAAAGGACTACTGCTTTTGAAGTATGTATTTTCATAATAAGTGTCTTTGCTGCTTCCCCAAGAACTTTCTACTTCTGAAATAGGACATGGCATTCCTCCTACCTATTTATGTCACCAACTGTATTCCATTGGTGGCTTCACAGGTTCAATGAACCATTATCACTTACAAAACCAACCCATTTGCCTAATTTGAATTTTACATTTTTAGAACTAAAATAATTTTCAGATGGATACTTACTTCTGAAATACCCACCCACACCTACCTCCCACAACCAAAATCTCATCACAACTGCAATTTTCAATAAAATCTAAATTATGTCAGCACAGCAGAACTTGTGTAAGATCCTTTGATGCTTGCCTAATAATGCATAATGAAAGTGGAAGTTATGGGCAAATGACATGTACTCTGTAATGTGTAGAGGACATTTAAACTTTTGATCATGTTTTGTTGACTACTTGACAAGGAAAGGCTTTTAGTATTTTAGAGGTAAGTACCTATTTAAATTTAATTTTAAATCTAAAAGTATAAAATTTTCCTTCATTTTATTCTGCCATTTCAGAGTTATAGGGTTTTTCTTTAACTAAACAGATAAGTTCTCATAAATTTTTTTTTTTTTAAAGATTTACTAAAATATAACCTTGGGAAGCTCTGGATACACATGTTTCATTAATGTCAAACCCTTTCACGAGAGTATATTTTGACATCTGTTATTTTCAGTTTTTTTTTCTTTTCTGTCACAATATCAAACATACATTACTCTTTCTAAGGCATTCTCAGGAAATTTATGGTTTTTAACATGTATATATGAAGTATTGTATGTTATTATTCTTACTTGTTAATGAAATTTAATATTGAGTCAGATTGTACTTTTTAAAATTAAATGTATCCTTCTTCCATACAAATAATCAAAATAGTTTTCAGTTGAATAGTTTAATTAAAAGTTTTTTTTTTCCTTAACTTCTTGATTTTATAACTGAAACCAATTCCAAATAAGGGATAGTTAGATTTTCCATATTCTAGCTATGACAAAGCACAACTACTGTTATCAAGTAAATTCATTTTTATGCATACTGAGTGTTATGTGCCTGATATTCACATATTAATGGTATTTGAAAGCAAATATAACACTGTGTGTATTCTCAGCAGTTTGAACAATAGCTAAGTGCAGTGATGGTGCAAAGGGGGGTAGGGGGGGCAATTGCCTCCTTGGCACCACACAAAGGGGGTCCAGAGAGAGCAATTGCTCCCATGGCACGACACAAAGGGGAGGGGTTGCTGTTTGGGGATGGTCACTGATTTTCTTAAATATTAGGGGAGCCAATAAAAGAGCATTGACCCTGGCCACAGTGAATCCTTGCCTGCCTCTGGCTGAGTGATTGATAGCAAAATATGCCGGGACCTCAATGAAGATACTTCAACATTCCATGACATGAATAAAAATTGGCCAACTAGAAGCTTGTGTTATACAACCAAGTCTTTGCAGAGTGACTACAAGTCTCTTAAAGTGTTATTAAAGGTATGTGGACTTGCTTTTACACCATTAGTACGGTTGGCCATAGATCTGAACATGATAGATCATTGTTGATAACCTTGCAAGATGACTACTATAGGCTTGATGCAATTGGCAGGCCTCAACGTTCTGACTTAATCAACAGTTTAGAGCAACAATTGGAGGACTAGTCATTATGTAAAAGGTCAGAAACAGACTTCATTGTGTTGACCTTTATACCAGATAACTAATAATGCACATTTCTGTAATTCATATTTACCAAAAAGTATCTTCAATGGTGTCAAGAACATGTAAATTGGTCAAGTGACTTGTGGGCAGGCAAATGTCTTGCTCACAGATGAGTTGGACTTCAAAATGCAGCCAGATATGAGTGATGTACACATTTGGAAAGTTTCTGGGACTGATTTCATCCCAAATTTCATGGAGTGAAGACACTTATCGTGGTGATCACACATAAAGATCTGAGAAGGAATGGATAAATTGTGGCCATGCTTACCTTTATGTGTTACACACCATGGCACTTTGAATACCACATGGTATAGGTATGTAGTCTTACAACCTTTAATGTTGCCAGATGTAGGTGCAGTTTTTATGGACTTCCTTCTAGTGGATGATAATATGCTCAATTGATTAGCTACTTCTTTAGTAAATAGGGTATTGAGCAAATGTGTTGACCAGCATGCTTAGTGAATTGGATCTGAACAAACATGCATGAAATGTTGTGGGAAGAAACTGGGTTACACCTGATTCACCTTCAATAATACTGATGAACTGGAAGCAGCTCTGATGGCAAAGATGGCCTTATTTCCCCAGCAATTTATTCTAAGCATGCCACATTGATGTATGACTAGTATTAGTGTTTGTGGTGATTATATGGCTGCAAAGTATCAAATTATACACTACTCCAACAGTAAACGTTTGAATATCATATCACATGAGTGGTCATCTGATACTTATTTTGCATAGAAAGAACTTGGGTGCCATGTACATTATTTAATTATTTGCCATAGCTAGGATATACGAAAACTGATTATCCCACAATTGTTTTCAGCAGTGTATTATAATATCTTTGAGATCAAAATGTGAAAAAAAATAGCTTAAGTTCTGTAGTTATAAAAGGAATTTTGTTTTTTAAACCTTAATTACTTGAGTTGTGTTAGTGAGTGCTTTTATTGTTAATAGCACTTACAATAACATTTCAGATTGTTAAAAGAAGTATTGTTGATCACTTTTAGTCCACTTTTCAGAGGTTGAAACACTAAGTTGATAAATTTTGATTATCACATAAGCAGCTTTGCAGAAAGATAAAACATTTAGATTGTAATTGATGATTACTAATATCTTTCTGAAAAATTTAAAGTTATTGGATATTTGCTTATTATTTATACTACTTCATCAGAAAGATTTAAATTATTAGTGATATATCTGCTGTTTTTCTTTCTTTAGATACTGCAGAAGGTGCGAGAACAGATTAAAGAGTTGTTGTCTAATAAATCCCTTACTCCACATCAACATCAAATGCTACAACAGCTATTAACTCTTCAAAAAAAAATCATACTTCAAGCTCAGCTGGCACAATCACAACATCAGAATTCACCACAGCAACTACAGGTGAAGTTATAATTTCATCTTATAAAATATTAGTTTAGATTGGAAATGTTTAATAAAACAGAGACAATAATCTGTAGCTAGTTGTATTACCTTTAATACTTTGATATTGAACAACCAGTAACTTGAGACAAAGTAATTACTTTTCTGACAAACTAACATTTTGACCCAACGTTTCAAGAATGCAAGTGATACAGAACATTAACTTTTTAAATCTATTTTTCAACTTGTTATTGGATGAAAGCATGCTACAATAGCAACAGATTGATAATTTAAGTATTGAATCTACAATAAATAATACTATATGTATATAGCAGTAAAGTTTGGATAGAAACATGAACATTTCATTTTTGCTTTCTTTAAATTTTTGTACAAGTGCTTTTCATAAGGTTTGAGTTCTTTGTTTTTACCTTCTCTTTACCATTTGCTAGATATTTTTTTCTTTATTTTTAAGTTTATTTCATTTTTGTGCGAATCATAGGGAATTGATATTTTTTTGCAATTGACATAATCTGACAATCTGTTTAGGCTTTCTTGTTTTAAACATTTTAAGGTACAGTTTTCTCTCATAGCTTATAGGTGATAAAACTATTTGTACAGTATAGAGTTTAAGCAGGTGATACATATATGTGTGTGTATATATCTGGTTCAGCTTGGAACAACATCAGACACACAAGCCCAAACACCTGTTATAACTTCAGGATGTGAAGAAAAAAATGAGTTGCCAAAAACAGCACCAAAGCTGTCCACAAATCAACCTTCCAATTTAGTCAATCTTTTAAAAAAAGGCCCATCATCATCATCTGTAAGTTGTTGTTTTTTAACTCATTCCAATGAAGAGTTAGCATAATGAAATGGATTTAATGCATGTTATGCAATCTTTTCTGATGTCATACATAACACTTAGAAACATTTGGCTAACTTGCCAAAGCTCATAAAATATTGTTCTTATAGAAATTAATGTTTTTCTCATACTTTAATTCACTGAGGAAATAATCAAGTTTTCATATTGTTAAAATAACTTTTAATATATGTTTTGCTTGTATGCTCACAGATTTCCTTTGTCATATATAACTTTCTTTTTTCTTTCTAATTGTTATTTTAAAAACCTGTTTACGTTCATCGTTAATGGAAAATTCCTCTTTAGATATTTCTAGAAGTATAGGGTGGTCCTTAATAAATGCTACATTTATAATAACATCTATTAGTACATTAAGGTTAACAAGGTGTATTGTGCATTATGAGATAATAAGGCTGTAATACAAATAATTGTTTTCATCATTTCATTTCATACAGAACTTATTGTATTTGTAAGAAATTTATAAATAGTTATATATCACAGAATTTTTTGGTCATGGTACCAAACCTATATATACACTGCAAGTTGATAAAACCTTGCTTTGTAAGTATCTTTAAAGTGTTGGAATATATTTATTGTAATTACAAGAATAATTAAATTGAAAAAATGATTAGCCTAAATGTTTTTGGTAGGTGAACTGATGCTAGAAGTAATGGGGCATATACAAGTTTATCATAAAAAAAGAATGTTTGCTAATTTATACATTGTATACCATATGTAGGATAAGCTCAGCTAGTAAATAATAAAAGTTAACATCGAGGGATAAAAATGTTTTCCAATTTGTATCATTAGAATGACGGGTACTGACTTCAATAGATACCATCGTTTTTCTTTTAGATTAAGTCTGCATTGTGGTACAGTAGGTATTCTCAAACTGGGGGTTGTGGGAGACTTCAAAGAGGGTTTGTAAAAGAATTGAAAAAGTGAAACAGATCTCTCAAAGAGTTGCTTTATCATCTCAAACTCTTGAAATGTTTGGAAATAATTTAATTTTTCTTTTTTTTTCTAATCAGTTTTTGATTTTAATGCAAATCTACACAAGGGGTATCTGTGCATAGTAATCTCTAATTTTAAACTGATAAGACCAGAAGGAACATACACTGTTAATTCTTGGGCTATTATTTGGCTGATTGAATAGTGTGATTTGACTATCACACTTATATTGCATCTATGACCCCAAAGTACAGAGCACTTTTGTTTTTTGGGGCAATGAAATTCAAAAACTGAATCCTCTGATTCATGGTCTGGGCATGCTAATCAACGAGGACATGCCTTGCCCTTCTTATTAGTATTCTACGTGCTTTGGGATTGACTGTTTTAAAGCTATGGAATAATTTAAGAATAAGATGTGCGTATTATTGTAGCTGACCAAAATGGGTCCCAGCCTGTAAATGTTTTTTGTGGGAGTATTGAAATTCAAATTTATATTTGTTTGTGAAAATTTCATGTAGGTTAGGATGTTTGGATTATTATATAATAATGTTTTTGCCATAGATATTTCATCCTTTTTTAAATAAATCCACATTATTTGTGTATTAAAACAGTCTTTTTTTCACAGTTTTTGCAATATTTTCTTAAACATTGTTTTAAAGAAATTATAGGATAATTTGTTTATGTATTATTTTATGAATGAGCTTTATTTTTAGAATGACCACAAATGGAAGGATAATCACAATAATGTATATAAGTTAATTTTAATTGTTGCTGCACAAATAACAGGGTAGACATTTTAGCATTACTTACAAAAGTTATGCTGGAAAAAACATGTAATGGTAATTTAATTACAACTATAAAAAGGTACCTCTCCTGATTGTTACCTGTTATTCCTATTAAGTTAATACAAGAACAACAACCTAGTCACATAACACAGTATACTTTCAGAAACAAAAGTCAACAAAGTGAGCAGTTTATACCTATTGTGTGTTTTAATACATACTTTTCGACCTTGTAATTATGAGAGGATCCTCAAAGACTTACCTGATTTTCAGCGGTCTAAAACTTGTAGCAAGAAAAAACCACAGAATGTGTAAAAAAAAGAAAAACTATACCTGTAAAAGAGCAGTCATTATTAAGTTAAATTATTAAATAAGTATTAAAATAGTAAAACTGCATAGTTTTCTGTAGCTGAAAAACTAGACAATTCAAGTGTTACACTATTCTCTGATCCTGTTGTAAAATTTGATTATTCTGTAACTGTTTCCTTTTCTTTATGTGTTACATGATACCTTAGCTTTTGAATGCATTTGTGTTGTCTCATCTCATCATATTGATTATGTTATTTTTTGTTACCTTATTTTGCATTACTACAAAAGAGCCTTATACTATTTAAGTAGCTAACATAGTGTATAACATTGTATTTTACACACCTGGTACCTGCTTTGGACTTGATTTTCTGTTTTCCACCATATTTATTTGTTTTCTTGCAAATATTCGTTACTTATTCTATAATGATTGTCAACCCTGACATAGGTAGAAGTTTATGTTTTACTAGTATAGTGTCCACTTCATTTACTTAGTATTTAACATTGTTGTATGTTAAACCTTCTTTTCTTGTTTTTACTTTTGATTCATGTTATATACGTTTTAAGTATCATAAAAAATTTAATTGAACATTTTACAAACAAAAAAAAAGTTCAGGTATTATAAAATAATTTAGCATTGTATAAATTTGTATTCCAACTTAAAATGTACCAAGTTTAATCACATGAATTAAGTGTTTTCATAGCAAATAATGCACTGAATTTGTCTATAATATCAATATAGTAAGGTATTTTGTAGTAATAGATGATTGACATATTTTTAATGCAGCCTACACTCAGGATAATTGCTCCTGCATTGCCAAATGTCTCATCTACAGTTCAAGCACAACCATCAAATATTTCCAGTGTTAATGTGCCAACTCAGGTTAGGGTAAGTAGACATTGTTCTCAAGAAAGTGATTTGTTAACAAACAGTCATGCAATAGTATATTTTTTTTCTTTGCTTCTGTTTTATTTGTATTGTTATTAGTGGATTTATTTTTTAGTTGGAGATAGGTCAAATAAATTTATGTTTTAATTATAATTAATATAATTGTAAACTCTTAAAGAGTTGCCTATATAAAGCAGACCTCCAGTGTATTGTTATCTAAAAGAAAGCATAAACTAAGAAGTGTATAAAAATGAATCAAATACATCATTAAAGCTTAAAAGTGCAACATTTATTTTTCCATTACACATTATTTAATTTTTGATATACTATTTTACAGAAAAATATTTTGATCATTTTTCTTTTGGTTACAAGTGATTACCAGAGACCAACTGGCCCAGTAAACTAATAACATTTTTAATACATAGATATAGATGACTGAATTTAAAAAAAGATGTAAATTTTATTTTCATTTGTCCACATTGGATGTTGTAAAATCACTATGATTTCCTCCCAGAAGTAATTTCTGTACCTTTATTTTTCTTTCACAATTCTTAGACATGAATATTTATGAGGTTTTTAGGTCATTTTTAACTCACTATATAGTAATCTAAATTAATTTAGGTGTGTGAATAATATTATGGTATTGTTCCTAATTTATTATTGGATATTATGAAGCAGATCAGCTGTGTATTAATTATATTACAGATGTCTTTTCACCAAAGGAGGTTACTATATGTTGAGTTAGAGAGGACTCAAAAACCCATAGATATTATATATACATTACCATCATAAAAGGCTTAAATGTATTTCTTTGGTTTGCTGACTCAAGCTGTGCTAATGAACCTTGAATAGACAAAACTACAGTCCACAGCAGAGGATGGGTTCAACAAAACGAAGAATGTATTAGGCCTCTACATCATAGAGTATATTTTCAATTTTATCTTTGGTAAAAAGAAATCTGAAATATAATCTTAGATATGAATGCTTATCTGAGTGTCTAAGGTGACCTGAATAGATGCTGTAGTATTCCCATCACTGTTAATGGTCTTATGCACATCATGTAATGTACTCAAGCACTGAAGCTATTTCACATATTGTTTTTTACATACTTCCAGCAACCTTTAGTCTCTCCTCTTTTTCAAATTCAACGAATTCATATCATAGGACCTTGTACACAGTTTGACATTGCTGTTCTACCTATATGTATTTATAGAGTATGCAAAGTTCACCATGTCATATGTTCGAATACTTCTGATAGTGTAGTGTATATATTTACGTGTAGTTTAAAAACATATATGTTTTCATTATAAATTAATAATTTTATTATAATTGTGTCATTCCATATATCGTAATACACTGAGTTTGGTTTAATTGTAAGATTTTTGTACTTACTGGTTATTGTAATAAACATTTGCATTGTATAATAGCTAGATTATTATATTCATTGGTTTTATTAAGCCCAGCTTGATCTACATAAAATATAAAAAAATTTAATATGCTTCTCCCCTTTTTTTTTTCCATGATATAATATATTCTTTATGCTATAGTTTTGGAAAGAAACTTGTTCTCTTTTTGTTTTATAGCACACATCTTAATTTACTTTAACAATTTTAGAACTTGGTGTATAACCCTTTGCAAAACCAAAGAACTTGACTTTTTTGCTATCCAGTATACTAATTCTTATCTAAAATACTTTCTATAAACTTTTCTTAGGTTGCCATATTAGAAAGCTTGTCTCCTTGTGTATTGGAATGTTTCTTTTTACTAACAAGATTAAGTAATATTATATGTAGCCAAACCTCTTTATGTTGGGATTTAGTCTGATGAATAAAAAAAATTATAACTTTTTTTTTTAGAACAAAAAAGAATCTAGTTTTGATACTTTAAAGAAGAAAATTCACCCCATTCTTCATCGGCATTTTATGTGTATGTTAAATTACAGAAGATTATGCATGTATAGATGAATACCAGAAATAAAATTCATATTGTTAACTTTATAGATTGGGAATCAGATAATAACCTTGGCTCCTCAGCAGTGTCAGGCCGTCCAGACGTTTCAGCAGACAACAAAAGGAATAACACCAGAACAACAAGCCTTTTTAAAAGTATACAGTATTTGTTGAATTGATTATTACAGTTAGTGACTAAACAAAATTTTAATTTATTTTACTTTTATTATTTGTACATTTAAAATTTTTGTAATATGTTAGTTGTGGCAGAATTTCCTTCTTTATTATGAAATTATTGGCTACTTGAAAAATTCACATTTATATACATTTGTTAAAACATTTCTTACTGTGGTCATTTAAAGGTGCATCAAACTTATAGTAAGCCAGATTGAATGCTGATAGAAAATTAGTAGTAGCCTAATAATTAAGTAAGCCAAAAGTTACATAGTACATACCACTGGCAGCATAAGGAATTAAAGATTTTAATGATCACATGCTACTTGATTATATGCACTATTTTTGTGGGCCACTTTTTGACTTATTTGTGCAATAATGTATAATTATGTTTTTCAAATAGTTCAATAATGTGTGTTCAGAAAGAACCATGAACATAACTGGCATTTATTCATTTAATAATATGTACAAAAAGTATGCTGAAAGACTTTGGTTACAAGATTTTGTAAATATGTGCTTTCCTAAAAAAGTGAAACAAATGAAGTTATGATTGGCAGAACCTCATAGTATTATGTCTGGATCAATTATATCTCAGAAGTTTGTTTGATGCCAATTTAGATAACCATAACATATTCATACACACTGAGAGTTTATTATTGTTTGTCTGGCATGATGTTGATGTAGCCTATGGTTGCATAGAGAAATTATGAGACAGCTATACAGTTGATTCACAAGTGTTCAGTTACTGCTGTATTTATTTCATCACTACTTTATCCATTATTCACAATGGAAAATGGAAGGAATTTTGTTTTCAGAAAAATGAAAAATTGATAGCAACTTTAGAGTATTTGACATGAACTATGATTTACTTAGTTTTCAAGGGTTTGAGTAATTTAAATAATTGTTTAGCTAAGAAAATTTTTAAATAGTGTATCTTTTTTTAATAAATGATCCTATAAAAATAAAACATAATGATATTAGCCATTCAAGTTCATAATTTCTTAGAATTAATATATTTCATGAGCAATAACAAAATACAGAAGAGGAAAACATCCATTATAAAAAGTTTGTCTGTAATTAATCATCTTAATTGTTGGAGGTATTTGTGATTGATTGTTGTTAAATAGTAGAATCATTAGCTATCTTGAGTTCAGTGTAACATATAGAAAATAATTTTTAATGACAGCAGCAACAAAATCAACAAGCCTTAGTTCTGAAGCTCCAAAACCAGAATCTCCAAACACAAATGTCTCAAACAGATTCTTCATCCAGTCAGCTTACAACAGTTGTAAGCATGGCCAACCAGTCAGTTGCCTTACAAAAGATTATCCAGATACAAGTGTGTAATTTTTTATTGTTTTGTATAAAAAATATTTCTTGAAAAGAAAGCATATTAGAAAAAAAATTTTAAAACATTCATGAAAACTGAAATTTTATTTTTACTAGTAAAGCAATAAATTTTAAAAATGAGGTAGCTTTAAGCCATATTGTGTAGAATGCATTGTAATTCTTAGCATAACTTCCGAACTTCTTACTATGTTAGATATTTAAAAAAATAAAAATGAAGACTTAAAGAACTACTGCAAATTAATTGTAAATGATTAAGTTGTGTTATTTTCAGTCAAATGTGACTGGGCCTAGAGTTTGTCTATTAAAGGTGATTTTTGGGTATATATATATATAGCAAGTTGCAAAGATTTTTTTGCATATCTATCATAGTTAATTGTTTTCTATGTTAAAATTCATTTTTATTTCCTTTGCAAGCTTTCAGCTCTCTTACTGGAGTCTTCATCAGACAACAATATATTGAGCAATACAAATCATTTATCTGTGAAACGCTGCTTTAAAATAGGAAATAATTGTAACAATAATTGACATGTGGTATTAAAATTATTAACCATATAAAATTACGATGAATACAAAATTAACAGTCAAAGATTTAAGCTTTTACATAAACTGAATAATCAAAAACCTCAATCTTTGTAACTGTATAACAGTATAAAGATCTTATATACACTGTTGCTTAACAGTATTCAAGATAAATCAATTACTTGAATATAATGAACATAAAGAAAATACAATTATATGTATTCTCAAGAAACATAAATTGTTCATACTTCAAATAATACATTGTTATTATGATTATTGCCTAGATAACTGTTTTAACCCTATCAGGACAATCTGCTTCCATCAGAAGAAAATTATATAACTCTCGTGAAATGTCTTTCAAAAATAAAACTAGTGGATGAAATTGTTTGAAATTTGGCAAGAACATTCCTAAAAGTATGTAGTTTAAGAAAAATAAAATATTTGAATTGTATTTTTTCTATTATTTGTGATGAAAATTCATTATATCATGTACTTATTTGCACCCTGACTCTGAATAGTTCACGTGCAAATACTATTTTTTATGTTATAGTTTTCACATTTCATTTTTCATAATCTCTAGGAGTTAGAACGTCATAAATGAATATCAACAGTTTTTTTAAGATAAATTTTTATAATTTATTTTCCATGTTCTCTACTATATCACAAACTCTGTCTATTATCATTAATATACGGTGCAATGAAATATTGAAAATTAACAAATGGAAATATGTACATGCTTTTCAACTCTTTATAGAAATTCACTAACATAGTCTTATTTTTCTCATAAACATAATTTCACATCTTTTTACTTATAGTTTATTTTTAATTTACGATTCAAATTCTCTGTCCTTTATTATTTATGCTGATACTCAACTGATGCCTGTGGGGCTTTGTGAAGTTTTTGTCAGCAGGCTTCAGGGAGACACGGTTTGTCAAAACAAGATAGTGCTTGTACCTATTATTTTTAAAACACAAATAATACATAATTAACTAAAGTATAAAAGTAAGACCTAAATATGATTTAACTGTCTCTAACTATAGCATATTTAAGTAAGAAACCATTGTAAGTGCTATAGTCGATCAAGCAGACAACAGCACTACAGACAGTTTCATCTACTTCAATAAGAAAACTACGTGTCAATTTCAAATTAAGCATTGGTGGACTACTGTGTCAACTGAACTTTTTCTAACAACTATATACATTTGTGTCCAGTAACTACATGTACATTGTACATCCCTCGCCAAAGTATAGAAGGTGGGCGTGACACCTGTCAAAGGTTGGCAAAATTTATTTCTGCTTCCCAGTGAATGCAGCTATAAGACTTTGTACTTGAAAAAACTCTGAGCCATTCTATGAGCTGCTATGCTGTGGCTTAAAATTGTACTGAACTGATAGGGTTAAAGGAGTGTTCCACAGATAAATGAATTTGTATTGCTCAATACATTGTTGCCTGGTGAAGGCTCTAGTAAGAGGGCTGAAAGCTTGCAAACAAAATAAAAGTATTTTAGCATAGAGAACAGTCCTTGTATAATTTTACATATTAATTTACTTACGTTATAAGTCTTAAAAACCTACCAATGTTTCTTCCCTACTTTGTATACGAAATAGATTAATTTTATATCAGAATGTAATACTGCTTGTTTTGTACTTTGCAGAACTTCAAAAGTCAAGTTAAAATATGACAACTTTTATCCTTTAAAAGTTTTCATATATTTGGCAGTTATTTGTCATTCTTTAATGTTCCTTCAATAATTTAGTGCTAATTTTTTTCTAGATGTGTGCACCATGTGTGATGCTACATTTTTATATGTAAGCTAATACCTAACTTTTTTATAGTTTTTCTCTGCACACAATCTTAAAGGTATTTACAAAACTTGTGTACAATATATTTTAGCAGATATAATAAGTTTTTATTTTCACACATATAATTAACTTCAAGATAAGAAAGATGGTTGATTTTAAATAAGGCTCTGTATGTCTCATTTTACATTTATTTTATTTTGCTTTAGACTTTAGCCAAACCACCTGTGTCAAGTGTTTCCAAGACAGCCTTGTAAGTTGAACTTGTATAATATTTAAAATTGAATAAAATTGGCATAAAACAAAACAAATTTAAAATTTCTGAGAAAATATCTCCACATGCAAAATTGCATTATTCCTTGTGTGTCTGCCTAAAAGATTTGTATGCCACTAGTCTTGAACAAACTCCCACCTAAATTCATGTAATTAATGTGCTGGTGCATCATGTTATCATGCAATGATAGCTTTCCACTTATAGGAGTGTAACACAAACTCCATGCGTCCTTGATTTTAAGCCTCCTTTCTCCTTCTCTCAAGATTTGTTTTGGAGGCTTGACCATGTTGGCAACGTTGAGCATCCCACTTCGGCCCACTGACTAGATTTCCATTACTTCTCTGTCACACTGGTGGTGGTGGTGGGGGGGTATCTCTGAATGATTATATGCCCCAGGGCATGTGAGCCCAGGGGGAGCATTCACTCTCTTTATGTCCTTTATCTTCTTGTCATCTGCTGGGCGTTTTCCCATTTCCTCCCTCTTCTTTTGGATTGGTTGATCAGGATCTACTCTGTTTATTCCCTGATCATTCCTTATTTCAACCATCAAAGGGGTAGTCATTCCAGGACCCTTTGCTTCTATGCTTTGGACCTACTATATTGTTTTTTTCCCATTGGGTTTGTCTATTGACTAGTCATATGCCTAGGACTCTGAACTTGGTAGTGTTTCACCTCTCTTGCCCTAACAGGGTTCTACCCATGATGTTGTCTCTCTACCCTCTGATTTTGTTGGGTTCACTTTCAGTTAGATACTACTCCCCACTCCAAACTACCCCTCTCTAGTCTCCAGTTCCTCATCCTCCGGCCACATCTGCCAATACTTTCAACCAGGACTGGTCTCCCACTTTTCTGTATACATATCTTCCTCCTTGTCTCCTACCTCCTGTTCCTACTTTGGTACTTGACACTCCTTGTCTGGTTCTATTGATAACACTTCTTTGGCAGGCTCAGCCTTGCTTTCTTTCTTTCCTTCATTTGGCATCTGGGCTCCCTTTTCCTCTGCCCCATTCCCACTCTCTTTCTCCTACCATGTCTCCTTCATTTTCACATGTTGGATTTTTCCTGTCCATTCCTCGCAGGGGTTAACTCTCCAGTCATATTTCTTTTTTTTTCTGTTCCTGTCATCCTTCACCTCTGTCTATCAATTGTGTTGGTTTTTTTTGGCATTGGTTTATCTGTCTTCTCTCTTCCTGTGGCTTACCTTTTTGCTTTTTTCACTTGGTTGTTTGATCATGGATTTCCAGTTTTCTACTCTTACTGGTTTTTAGGCAGTTTTATCTCATTCATTTTGCATTTCCACTTACTTTTTGGATTTCTTCTCATGTCCTTTCTACTTTATTCTGATTCTTCCTTCTTCACTGACCTTCTTGTTTTAACCCCACACATAATTGGGACTTTGTTGCAGTTTTCACACACTTCCATTGGTTCGAATAGAGCCATTGACTTCATGTTTATTGTTTCACCTTTTTTTCTACTTCGTACTAATTATCATCATCATTTGAATGTCTATGCCTTCATTGCTTCCTGAAATCTCTTTCACTGTACTTCTTCCCACTATCCTGATCAGAACTTTCTTTTTACCACTTTGGTTGCTCAGGTGGGTGATTGTTTTTTTGCATTTTGTTGCATCAGATTTGTCAACTGTCTCGCTTTTTACATCTCGTTCTCACTGGCCCTTGGACATGACCATTCAGGCTGGGATGTGGATGGATCCACACATCTCTGTTTCCCTTTATCTTCATCAGCCAGCACTTTCTCCTTCTGCAGAGTTTCGATTCATTCCAGTCACTGTTCTTCATTACGTCTGCACACTGTTTTTGAGAAGGGTAAGTACATTTTCCTTTTCAGGGCCATTTTCCCATTTCTTGGATCCCATCAGGTGGCTGATGTTGTATCCCATGGTGGAAAGTGTGCAACCTGTGCACTCTGGCTTTTCTACATGTGCAAGATGGGTGTTCTACAAGACCACTAGAGGTATTCTCATGGTGTGCAATTTTACTAACTTATGCTATCTTGACAATACCATTTCCATGGACTATCATAGAAGCAGCCAGCACAAGGGAAGTAATTGATCACTTCTTTGGCTCGTGCTTGCTTGCTTTTAAAAGTAAGGTTTCGTGGTCACCCATTCCAGTAAAAGACCTTTCTTATATGTGGTCCAATGGAAACTGTTGCCAATGCATATTACCCCTCCCTCTTCAAGTGAAACACAGTAGAGCCCTTGCCATTTACCAGTTCGTAGCTGCTGTGGTGGTTGATCTTGAAGAATCTTCACCAGTTGAGTTCTGTGCAATACAGTGAGAAATAAGGCAGTGATGACACTGTCAGTGTAGTGTGGATCACCTTTCACGCAGCTAATATGCTCTCTTTCTGCAGCCAGAGCCTGTTCAGTAGTCGAGATGACCATACACCCTGTGGTCAGATCATGCCCTCGCCATACTATACATATTGGCTGGCCAACTATTTGTGTGCAGGTGCTCGGTTGGTCATGATCACATTCCACTCATCCCTATGTCACTTTGGACTCTTTTACTTTTCCCTCCTTTATACCTTTGGCGAAGAGTATACCCTGGTCAAAATGAGATTCAGTCTCCCATGGGTGTGCCGCTATGAATCTCCTACTCCATGGGCTTTCCCTTTGGTCACTTTCTGAAGGGAGCTCATCTAAATTTAAAATTTGCACTGGCCCCTCCACCACTTCAGTGTGAGATTCTAGCAGTTCTGCATGTAGAGGTGAGGCATTGTCTCAGAAGTTAACATTTTCATAATCAGAAATTTTATTTTCAAAAGATACTCATCTCCACACACACATTCCAGCCTGACCTCCTCACTTCCAGCACATTTTTTTCTTGCCTCGTCTAAGAATGAAGTTATTTCAAGTGCTTAGGGGGAATTACTGCTAATGGAGGTGGTGTAACTCTTCTTTGGGGGAAAGGATTATTTTTACATGATGATGTCATCATGCACCAGTGAAGTTCACGTTAAACACATCAATGTAGGTATTTTTAAAAGAAGGCATCATTGGCCAATGTTATTAAAAATTTTAATTTCTTGGACACAGGATAAAGCTGTTCTTGAAGTGTTAACGTTTTCTTTTTTAAACAGATTTCAACAAGAGCTGACACGTGACCATGAGGCAGTGGCAAAGCCAAATACTAAAAAACCATTTAGTTCTATAGAAGATTCATATAAGAGGCTTCTGTGTTATCATGTTTACAATAGCAAAATTCCAGGAAAAGAGGAGCTTCAGAAAGGTAATCCTTATAAACGTTATTATTTTTAATCATGAAGAAATTGTTTTTGAATTAGTCAAAAATATTTTGATTATTGTTTACAAGAGATGCCAGGCTGTTCATGACACCAAGTGGTTGTCGTAATAACTGAAGATAACTACTGAAAATAAAAAACAACAAAAATGTGCATTGCACTTTGGGACCATGTGTATCTGTTACAATTGACAATCAAATCCCGTTATTTGTTTAGGGTAGCCCAAGAATTGTCAGTGGGTGCTGTTCACTAGTTGCCTTCCCACTAGCCTGTCAATTTGAAAGATATGGCTAGTGCATGTAGACCTGGTGTAGTTTTGTGTGAATATCCAAGGTAAACCAAACAAGATATGTCATTGCATGACGTAACATAAAAGGAATAATGAGAGAAATATTTAGTGGCAAGTTTTCAAAGTATCGGCTTAACCTTTTTACTATGGGCATCCTTTTGTGTGCAAGTCACAAGGTTTTAATGAGTTATATTCAAAATTTAATTAAAGTACTTTATTATCAGGGTATACAAATAAACTTGACATCACAATGTAGCTAATCATTACATTTTGGACTTCTCAGATGGGTGGCAAATAAATTAGAGAAGAGGGGATACCCAGAGAGCAAATGTCACAATTCTCATACAAGGGGAAACTGAGCATTTTTTAAATATTGCCTTATAAAATTGAGAACATAAAACATTTATACAATTAAAATTTGGATCTAAATTACTGATTATAATGTTGTAATCACTCAGGATAAGCATAGTTTTTATAGCCTTCAATCTTATTTTGTTACAGAGCCACAAACTAGAAAATCAGACCCTTCTTGCTATGCCCACTTGTCACATCCCCTTTCAGAAATTGGCAATTGTTCTCTCTGACGTTTAATATTATATTATTTATAACCAACAGAAAGATAAAGCTCTAATCTATCAAATGACATATTATAATACATTGTTTTCTGTATAGAGAATTGTGTATTTCACTTTCAGTGGGAAACACATCAACAAGCTAAGCTGAGTTTTTAATGACTTTTGTCACGTAATTAGAAAGCCAGAAAAATTGTGATAGTTATGGGACATTGTCTGTTTTTTACATGTGATTACTCTGTGTTCTTTGGTGCATTATTAAATAAAATAATAGTAGTAAATAGTAGTGCAATAGTACCATTAGTATAAAAAAAAAACGTAGGGTTAAGCATCATCAACAGTTGACAGCAAAAACAAAAACCCAGGCAAGTATTGTATTTTTTTTGTATTCTTTATTTATTATTATAAAAGTAACTAAAATGTAAAAATTATAAATTATTTAGGTTAGATATGGCTAGATTAGGTGAAATGAAGAATAATATCAATAATAATAATGAAATTATCACAAGTAGCCTGTGTGTTATGTAATTCAATAGGGTAATGTGAGCTAAAGGTGATTTACAACTTTTGTGGCAGGAATATTAGTTGGGCACAGTTGAAAGGACAATAAAATTTAAGTAGAAACAGATGTATACTGTTACAAGTTTAAAACTATTTAAGATAACCAATGTAGTTTCATGTTACAAATTTGAAGTCATTCAAGAAAGATAAAAAAGGTAACTTAGATTTATTTCAAATATTTTTTGGTATTGAGTTAGAGTAGATAAAATATAAAAATTTAAT